AAGACTGCTTAATACAGGTCTCCAAAACTAGAATTAAATAAATTGATTAATACCCTTAAAAGACTGTTCGGAAATGAGGAAGTAACTTAAATAGTTAATTGTGAAATAATTAAAAGAGTTATGGCTGTGGGCAAATTAAATAGTTGTGTTTCTTGTATGTTGCATTTCCTTTAAAATGTGGTTGCCCTTTGATGAATTTTAAAAAACTAGAACTATCGTATTTACCCCCAAAATGTCTTGGGAAAAAGAGGATTGGGAAGGTGTTAAGGAAATAACTTGTGTGGCTAAATACAAAAAAGAATTATCTTTGGTAAAAAAAAGACTAAAATCGGGTAATTAAAAATATTTAAATAAAAATCATGTTCAAAACATTAAAAAAAACCTTTAAATTTCCCTATGTACTAAACATTTTATTTTTTTAAGTCAATTTTTGACCTTCAAGTGTGGCCTTTTGCCTTTAACGGGCACACGGGTAACAGGGGTTTTGCACATCGCCCAGTTGGGGTAAACATTTGAGTAAAGTTTTAAAAAAACCCTTCCCTTTTATATAGAATTTATAGACCCGACAAAAATACTGTCTAGTATTGATTGTATTAAATTTGAAGATTAAAAAGGGGGCAAACTTTGTCAAAATGCAAAACAGAGTAATGAAAATTGACTGATATCTTATTTGCGACATCTCATATTCTTAAAAGTTTCAAGCAAAACCTGTGTGTTTTTAGAAATTTTTCAAATAATGTTAAAATTTTAAAAAAACATTTTCTAAGTCAAATTTTTGACCCTTAAGTGTGACCTTGACCTTTAGGGCACAAAATGACAAGATTCTGCACTAACCTTGTTGAGGGGGAAAATTTGAGTAAAGTTTGAAGAAAAAATTTTCCCCTTGTATCGGATTTATAGAGCCGACACGAATATGTTATATATTTGATTGTATGTAAATTGAAAACTTAAAAAGGGGGGTAATTTGTTAAAATGCAAAAACAGAATTATGAAAATTGACCAGCATATCTTAAATTGTGACACTTCAAATACATTTTAATTTAAAACAAATACCTTTTCTAGATTCGAAATATTAATAAATGTTAAATTTAAAAATTTTTCGAAATCAATTTTTGCCTTTTTGACCTTGACCCTTAAACCCGGGGAAAAGGGGGAATGGGTTCTGCACATCCCTTGTTAGGGGAACATTTTAGCCAAGATTGAAGAAAAATTTTCAATTGTGTAGGATTCAGAAGCGCCGCTACAGTGTAATATTTTATTGTTTGATATTTGACCTTTCAATTGTGACCTTGCTTGAGCTGAACATGGGTAACATCGGTTTTTGCAATCCCCCCTTTTTGAGGGTGAACATTTGACCAATTTGAAGAAAATCCCTTCAATTAGTGTAGGACTTACAGAGCGGAACGAATTGTGTAAAAATTGATTGTTTTTATATTGACCCCAATTTGACCCTGACCTTGAAACTGAACATGGGGTCATGGGTTTTGCAATCCTTGTTGAGGTGAAATTTAAAACCAAGTTTGAAGAAAATCCTTCAATTTGTTAGGGGTTTCAGAGCGGACACGAATTTGTGTAAAATTTGATTGTTTGAATTTACCTTTAATTGTGGCCCTTTACCCCTTTAGCTGCAATGGGCAACATGGGTTTTTGCAACCTCTTGTTTAGGTGGAAAATTTGAGCCAAGTTTTTTTTAAAAAATCTTTAATTTTGGTAACTTACAGAGCGGGCACGAATACTGTGTAATATTTGATTGTTTTTATTTGCCTTAATTGGGCCTTGACCCTTTAGCTGACACATGGGGGACATGGGTTTCCTCCTTGTTAGGTGAACATTTGAGCCCAAATTTTAAGGGAAAAACTTTAAATTAGTGTAGGGCTTCAGAGCGAAAGACTACGTGTAAAATTTGATTGTTTTATTTTGACCTTCAATTGTGACCTTGCCTTGAGCTAAAATGGGCAAATGGGTTTTTTGCACATCCCCCTTTTTGAGGTGAACATTTGAGCCCCAAGTTTGAAAAAATTCCTTCAATTGGTATGGGAGTTATGAGCGGACAAAGAAATGGGACGGACACGGACCGACCGGACGGACCGCGGAAAAAAAAAAAAAAAGCGAATCCCTTAAAGCCCCCCCCAAATTTTTGGGGGGTAAAATTATCTGTAAAAGTCCAGAAAGAGTTACGCTTTTTTGAGCCCGCATTTCCCCCATTGCGTTTGGGCCATAGTATGAATTTGGGTTTGAATTCTAAACATTATTTTTTTAAGTTATGATGGAAAAAGGGAAAAAGGAAAAAAGGGCTATAATTTAAAAAAATACTAAGATGGATTTTATTTTTTGCACGCCTTCCTTCAATGTGTTACCATTTTATAAATTTTGAAATTTCCCACCCATTAGTCTTAAAGTTATGCTCCGGATATGGAAAAAAAACGGCCGCTGGACGCCGAAAAAACCAACTGACCCCGGTGATCCTATAACACGTCCTCCCTTTCCTTTTTGGGTTTAAAAAAAATGCATTAATGTAAGAACAACAGTGTTAAAGAAAAATTTGGTACAACTTACGCCCCAGAAAACTCATAAAATTTGTCTCAATTTTATTTTGACACCCTCCTTGACGGTTCAGCCTGTTTGTATTTCCCTACCCACCGTGTACTGACCTTTAAACCCCTAATGAAAACCTTACATGATAATTTAAAAAACTCAGATTTTATATGAACTAAAATTTTTTAAAATCCCGGGCACTATTTAAATCATCGACCCAGTTCAAAAACAAAACCAAAAATTTTGGGGTTTACGGCCAAACAGGACCCCAGACCAGCCCGCATCGCGCAGTTTAAAGACCATGCTTTTCTTGCAGTTTCTTCCTTGAAATGAGTTGATAAGGAAAGCAGGATCCTGATCAACTGGCAGAGGCGGGTCAAACCCCATGTGTCGCAAACCAAATTTGTTGGTTTTTGTCATGACGTGGCTATATTCTGATGACTTTCAAGCTTTTAAGGCGGACTTAAGACTTGGGAGCATATTTTGCTTTTTTATGCAATGGCACCTAAGTGTAAAAGTAATTAAAAAGTACCTGATGCCCCTCACAAAAAAAACTTAAAAAGTCAAAAACCTACATTCACAGGGAAAAAATTTACCACACTTAATAAATTAATGTGCTTGTTATCCTTCATCAAATCAATTATATAAATCTTTGTTGGTAAAATAAAACGTTTCTTAAATTTAATTGAACTGTCATTTTCAGTCAAAGCATATCCCTGATATATCTATTCACTGACAAATCATTATCCCCCAATAATCAAAAAATTACCTTGGTATAATTCATTTTCATAACTTTTAAAAATGATTTTAGAAAAAAAAAAAAGCAAAAGAAAAATGTTTTTTTAAAAAAATCATATGTTCTTCTTAAATAAATCCCCATTGCATGATTTTTCTCTGCCCATTTTTTTATTGTCATCACTGCTATGAAATATATCCCTAAAATAAAAGAGGGGGATTGGTTTAACATAGACAGTGGGGTTTTTAAATATGTTTATGGGAATTTTTTTATGTTTGCATAATTTCTATACATTTAATTGGGTTAATCAAAAATTACCTTTTTCCATTTACGTGTATTGAAATTTTTGATTGACAGTAAAAATCCCCATCATGCAAAATTACGTTAGTCCAACTATCCACTTTCAGATGATGTAAAGTTTACGTTTATTATCAGGAAAAACCCAACAACCAGGCACCTTTTGCTCTACCCTTCACAACCTGCGCCTGAAAGTTGTAATTTTTACATCAAAAATAAAACAGTGTTTTTTCAAAATCATAAAAACTTTATTACCTAAAATGTATGTTAAATAGTTACAAAAATTTTAAATTAGTTTTATTTTACATAACGAGGTCCCCGGTCGGAAGGAAATGGACTGGACAAAAATGAAATATGAAAAATTAACAAAAAGGGAATAATAAAAGAAGACACTTTTTTTGTGCACGCACTTTTATCAAAAATCTATCGTCCCATGAAGTTTCAAGTCCCCTAGCTTTTATAATTTTGAGAAAAGGCCCGGAAAAATAAAAAATGAAAATTAAAAGGGCAATAAACTTAAAAAAAAAGAAATGCAGAGTACTAGTTTTTTTTGTGCATGCACTTTCTGATGAGATTATATCCCCTGAAATTTCAAATCCCCAGCTTTTATACTTTTGGGGAATGCCCCGGGGAAAAAAAAGTCAATTCAGAAATCAAACATGTTTCAACTAAACTCTAAGGTTTTCTCCATTTTTAAAAAACTGAAAACTGCTTTAAAATTGAAAAACTCTTTTAGTTCTAAATATCAAGCAGGATATAAGACCAGTATAAAAAATTTTTTAGCATGATAAAAAAATACAAAACACATACCTTGTTCATCATTAATATCAGAAAATGTTACTTTCTTTTCACCCATACTGGTCTGAAAAATAAACAATCTTTAGTATGTATTCAACCAGTCAAGATAATAATCTAAGTAACTGTGTATAAATTATACTATTAAAGTGGTCAGGCAGTAAAAACTATGATAAATGAATATATAATACCTTCAGAAATTTTAAATTGGGGCCATCCTTAAAAAAATGTTTGTTTGCAGTAACGCGACCGACTCACAAAATATGCCCCTACTCAAATTTTTTTTTCATGGTCAGGATAAAAATTTTTTTTTTTTAATCAGAAAATTATGCCTTGTGCTTTGTTTTGTTCTTTTAAAGGTTAATAGAAGAAATAAAATGTAGGTCTTATTAAATTAGAATTCAGTTATCAATTTATTAATTGTTACCAGATAAACAAAGCATATATTGTCCAGCATTTTGAAATTCCATGTTTATTTTCAATAATACAGTTCAATAAAAAAACAAGAGCCCGGTTTGAGCCGGGTGATGCTCCCCGAATAGGTTTTGGACACAGGAAAGTACACCTCTTGTAGTTTCAGAGTTATGTCCGTGAAAAAAGTTCAAAGTGCAATAATTCCAAAATAAGGCAAGGCAGAGTTACAATTCTTTGCAATGCACTTCTAATCAATGTGATCTATCAACCTACAAAGTTTCTTGATGATATCTCTTATGATTTCCGAGTTATGTCCTGGACAATTCAAAAAGTAAAATTAAACAAAGGGCAATAACTCCAGAATTAGGCAAGGTAGAGTTATGATTCTTGTGCACTGCACATCTACCCATTGAGATTTTATCTACCTACAAAGTTTCATGTTGATATCTCTTATAGTTTTACAGCTATGTCCTGGACAAGATTTTTCTAAAAGGGGAGATTATTCAAAAATAAGGCTTAAACAGAGTTATGGTTCTTTTGCACTGCAACCTCTACTCATTGAGATCTATTCTACCTACAATTGTTTCATGTTGATATCCTCTTATAGTTTTAGAGTTATGCCCCGGACAAGATTTTTCTATAAGGGGAGATAATTAAAAAAACCGGGCAAAATAGAGTTATGGTTCTTTAACACTGCACTCCCCCTCGATGCCCTCTACCACTGTATGAAGTTTCAACAAATTATCTCCAAGGGTTTTCAAGTTATGTTCCGGACAAAGTTCAAAGTATTAAAATTAACAATGGGCAATAACTCCAAAATTAGGATGAAAAAAGAGTTATTGTTCTTATGCACTGCACATCTACCCATTGAGATCTATTCACTACAAAGTTTCATGTTGATATCTCTTATAGTTTTAGAGTTATGCCCCGGACAAGATTTTTCTATAAGGGGAGATAATTCAAAAACCGGGCAAAATAGAGTTATGGTTCTTTGACACTGCACTCCCCTCGATGCCCTCTACCACTGTATGAAGTTTCAACAAATTATCTCCAAGGGTTCTCAAGTTATGTTCCGGACAAAAGTTCAAAGTATTAAAATTAACAAAGGGCAATAACTCCAAAATTAGGATGAAAAGAGTTATTGTTCTTATGCACTGCACATCTACCCATTGAGATCTATTCACCTACAAAGTTTCATGTTGATATCTCTTATAGTTTTAGAGTTATGCCCCGGACAAGATTTTTCTATAAGGGGAGATAATTCAAAAACCGGGCAAAATAGAGTTATGGTTCTTTGACACTGCACTCCCCCTCGATGCCCTCTACCACTGTATGAAGTTTCAACAAATTATCTCCAAGGGTTTTCAAGTTATGCTCCGGACAAGACAACGGACGGACAGACGGACAAGGCGCCGACTATATGCTCCCCCGAAATTTTTCGGGGAGCATAAAAAAAAAATCGACCTACCTACCCACCTTGAAAATTCTGGGTCGGGTTACTGCAAACAAACATTTTTTTAAGGATGGCCTGGATAACATTTAACCTTTGTAGTTATAGTAGCTGTTTTGGCTGGGCTTTAACAGTACAGATAATATGGCAACTTTCCAGCTTTACTTGTAGAGGAAGACCACAGGTACCCTTCTGTGCATTTTTTTTCAGGCACCCGAGTAGAACCACTGACATTCCATATGTTAGCTGGATAGCTTTCTCGCATGAAATTATCAATAGTCCCTGTCAGCAGTAACAGACAAATGGTTTGAAGTAAACAACCATAACCAGTTGGCCACGGACGCCCCTCATAGTAGCTGAAATGATTTATACAACACTTAAATATAACAATTCTTTTGTGTTTCCCATATAAACACTACTACTGCTTTTAAAATAGTGTTGAACACTTACATCTCCTTGCATTTTAATAGCTGGTTTGGCAGGTTGTGGTGAGGGTTTATTGTAACCTAGCAACTGTAACATGGCCTCGGCAGCATGCCTCTTCGCAAGTTTTTTATTGGGTCCTACACCGGTACAAGTCTGCTCATCAACCTGAACCTGCATGAGTACAGAGTCATGTTATGATTAGTATTGTTAAAATAGTAATATCCACACAAAAAATGTCTTGACAACAATACCATCATAAATTTACCTTAACTATATGTATTGACAGCAATTTTCAAAAGAAAAATTAAAAAAATAAAACACAACTAGAAATGTGTCATCATGCCACGGATGCCCCCGCATGCAGCCAAAATTTCAGATGTTATAATATTTAGTTCCAAATTTGTTTGCACAAATTATTTTTTTCATTTTAGGTTCAAAGCCCTTAAAACTTTTCAATGTTAACACAAACCATTTTCATACAATGTTCAAGGACTGAAATTATTCAGTCTTAGCATAGTGCATATTTGTAGCCAAAATAATGTGCTGAAACTGAAAGTTCAAAATAATTTTCCCAACATTCAGGAAAGATAAGTTTGTCCAAAATCATTGAACCACGACCAAATTTAACTCCTAAGATGTATCTATATTAAAGTGAAAGGGACATAACTCTGCCAAAAAATCATCAAACCATGACCACTGCCCATTCATTTGACATATCCATATGTCAAATTTGAGTTGAATATGTAACACTGTTGGGTAGATAATGAACAGAAACTGTAAATTTCATATTATTTTCAAAGTGAAACGAGCATTACTCTGCCAAAATCATTGAACCATGACCAAATTCCAACTTGGCCTGGGCATTCCAAAAACATATCCATATGTCAAATTTGAGTTGATTGTGTTGTACCGTTGGGGAGATAATAAACGGAAACTGAAAATTTCATATTATTTTCAAAGTGAAAGGGGCATAACTCTGCCAAAAATCATTGAACCATGACCAAAATTAAACTTGACCTGCGCATTCCTTTGACGTATCCATATGTCAAGTTTGAGTTGAATGTGTTGTACCGTTGGGGAGATAATGAACGGAAACAGAAAATTTCATATTATTTTCAAAGTAAAAGGGGCATTACTCTGCCAAAAATCATCAAACCATGACCAAATTCGAACTTGACCTGTATTTTCTCATGACATATCCATATGTCAAGATTGAGTTGAATGTGTTGTACCGTTGGGGAGATAATGAATGGAAACTGAAAATTTCATTTTATTTTCAAAGTAAAAGGGGCATAACTCTGCAAAAAATCATCGAACCATGACCAAATTCGAACTTGACCTGTATTTTCTCATGACATATCCATATGTCAAATTTGAGTTGAATGTGTGCAACCGTTCTTAAGATAATGAACGGAAACTGATGATGACGGAATGACAGAATGACGGAACAGGGTAACACTATATTACATGGCGGGGGCATAAAAAAACATCACATTATTTTAGCAATTTATCACCATTCCCCCCCCCCCCCCCAAATCAAAACATCTAGATTTTAAACATATACCTTGTAATAATCCTTTAGCAATATATACAAGCAACACCCTTTCCAAACTTAACACTGATAATTCACACACTTCAAAAAACTACTTTATACCTGCATGACAAATTCACGACGCCTAGGAAGACCTCTCTCAGCCAGTAATGTGTAGACAGGCTCCTTCTTTTTCTGGGCTTGTTGTATCTGTATAAGGCGGGATATAGGGTTGATGCCCACTCCATACGTAGGATCTGCTTTCTGCATCTGCTTAGAACAACCATATCGAGTAAACAACACAGTACGTGTACACAGACAACTCGTATTCATGAAAAATACTCTTGTACAATCTAAAATCAATGGAATCTCCCCATTACTGAGTATTTTAAACTGGGCAGAAATTATAGTTTTTTATTAATGACTATAATCAATTTATGGGGAAAAAAATCTAGGATATCTGTCAATATAAACTAGAACTGCCACTATGATGGCGTGAATACCCCCGCATACCACTTTGTCAGAATCAACAGTGGCCATTTAGAGCTCAAACACAATCTCCCTGCCAAATCTGAGGTTACTAAGCCAGTGCATTGTATTCTACATGCTTCAAATGTGAAAATGTCAAAATCAATACATTGCGGACAGGACATTTACTTTAGCAATTGAGAAGAAAAGCTTTTTTTTGTCAAGCTCCCTGTGACCTTGACCTTTGACCCAGTGACCTCAAAATCAATAGGGGTCACCTTATAGTCATGATCAACATCCATGCCAAATATGAAGACTGTGGGTCATAGGAATCTAAAGTAATTGGGCAGACAAACTTTTTGAAGTCAAAGTCCCTGTGACCTTGACCTTTGACCTGGTGACCTCAAAATCAATAGGGGTCATCTACTTATCATGACTAACCTCCATTCCAAATATGAAGACTGTGGGTCAAAGGAATCTTAAGTTATTGGGCGGACAAGTTTTTTCAAGTCAAGGCCCCTGTGACCTTGACCTTTGACCTGGTGACCTCAAAATCAATAGGGGTCATCTACTAATCATGACTAACCTCTATGCCAAATATGAAGACTGTGGGTCAAAGGAATCTTAAGTTATTGGGCGGACAAGCTTTTTGAAGTCAAGGCCCCTGTGACCTTGACCTTTGACCTGGTGACCTCAAAATCAATAGGGGTCATCTACTAATCATGACTAACCTAGATGCCAAATATGAAGACTTTGGGTCAAATGAATCTTAAGTTATTGGGCGGACAAGCTTTTTCAAGTCAAGGCCCCTTTGACCTTGACCTTTGACCTGGTGACCTCAAAATCAATAGGGGTCATCTACTAATCATGACTAACCTCCATGCCAAATATGAAGACTGTAGGTCAAAGGAATCTTAAGTTATTGGGCGGACAAGCTTTTTGAAGTCAAGGCCCCTGTGACCTTGACCTTTGACCTAGTGACCTCAAAATCAATAGGGGTCATCTACTAATCATGACTAACCTCCATGCTAAATATGAAGACTAAGGGTCAAAGGAATCTTAAGTTATTGGGCGGACAAGAAAAAACCGACGGACGGCCGGACGGCCGGACAGCCGGACGGCCGGACGGACGGACAAGCTGATTCCAGTATACCCCCCTTACAACTTTGTTGTGCGGGGGTATAATAAACGTGTCACTAGAAGTTTTGTTTGATTTATGGCACATCAACACAATTTAGATCATATGGTGCCGAAACAGGAAAGATAATTTTGGCTCTCAGGTGTTACAAACTTAAATCAACTCTAGGCACTAGGGATCAAAACCACTTCAAGTACTTGAGCTTAGAGATGCATAGACTCCTGTTTTTCGAACCTTTATAGTGGCCTCTTAAGATCATGCAGGGATAAACGGTGGCTTCAATTCTGATGCCTAAACCCTTAAAGGCAACCCTTAAGCCACAAGGGGTGAACAAATGTGACAAAAAGATAATCAGAACACAAAATGCTCCACTAAAAATGTATAATCTTTAGTGGGGATAAAAACTAACAATAATCCAATCACTACTAACCTTGATTAGATTTCTATTCTTTTTCTTTGTAGGTGGAGGTTTTGTCTTCGGTCTCGGTATATTTGGAGGCAGTGATGGGAGATTTCGTAATTCTTTCAGCATTAAATCTGCAGCTCGTTTTTTTGACAACTTTTTACTATTACCCTCGGCTTCTGTTTTAAAACTTCCTACAAGGCACTGTGTTACAAAGTTCTTCATGTGAGGTGGACCGGATTCTCGTATCACCTACAAGCAATTTAAATTATGACATATAAGATAGCCTAGATTTTCTAGTGTAGGCATCAATACTTAAAAATGGCATTTTGGCCCCTAAGGTGTTGAATAAGTTGTGTTTTACTTGATGTGGAAAAACTGGCTGCCTCGGTAGACTGGAATTTTTGGCCATCAGTTGAGCTTAATTGCATTTCAGCCAAGCATTCTAGTCCGTACCGTTAACTTAAACTGTCTATTTTCATGTGAATGTGTGTTTTTTGTTGTTGTTTTCTTTTTAATTAGGTTTTTATCCCACCAACACAGTATCAGTCATTCAGCAACATTCCAGCTTAACTGGTAGAGGAAGACCTCGGGTACCGTTCGAATCCAAACAGGCACCTTTAAGAATCCAAAGTCCCTGTCAAGATTCGAACCCACACTGAATGTGGCATTGAATAAGTACTTATATTAAGTAATTTGATTAAGTCTTTTTAATACTAGGTGTCTGTTTCTCACCTAGAAATCATAAGTCCGAGCCTTAATGGGGTTACAAAACATTTCTCAAAAGCATCAGAATTGAGAAGTTCCAGGCAGCAAATTCAATACTGGTTAAATTTTTTTAGCTTTCATCAAATGTTAAAATAAATATGTAACTTATCAACATCTAAAAATTTCAAGAAATATAAATGACAAAATATGATGTGCACTTCCAAAGTATTTAAAATGTGTATAATAATATACTTACATCAAACGACACAGGTAGATTGTGTCGGAGGGCTATCTCATGGACTAAACTAATCTCTGACTTGGTATCATCTGTAAAAAAGAAAAGATTAACAATCAAAGACTCATGCCACTAGGTGAAATGGTCGTTTGTATCTCAATATTGATTCAGATTCATGTAGGATTAGTACTCAGTCACTTGCTGAGAAATTGTTAATTACCGAGTTAAGTTATCCAGGAAAGGTGGACCAAAAATATGTTAAAATCAGCATAAAAAGAAGAAATCAAACTAACAGAATGCCTCTAGGTGAGTAAACTAATTTTCTAGGGCGTATTTAGTCAAGTGCTTAATGTGACATACTTCAACCCCTTACGGTACCCTTTATCACTTTGGATCAGAACACTTTTCAATTAAAGGAAGCTATCAAACTAGTTAACAGAAGATTATTAGTTCTTCTCGCAAATACTCAAATTAATTTCAATATTACCTCTCAAACCATGAATTCTGCATATGCAGCACTAATTAATCCCATTCATCAATGTTATATGCATTTATATTAACAACAATTTAGCAATAACAACTTTTGTTTCATTAAATGCAAAAAACATAATTACATTGTATATATTTAGTTTCAGGAGTTCTTTTTTTTAAATTCTTTTGTCTCTTTAAAGATCCTGTATGTTGTAATTGAGGTTGTAAACCACACATACATAAAATTTTATATATGTATATAATTATGCTTATAAAACAATTCTCAAACATTGAAGCAAATATTTGTACATTTTATATGTAATCATTTGAATATATGCATTCATTTCTTATTGAAAAATTTGACTTAGACTTTATAGAAAATATCTTTTTTATTACCTCCCTTTATTTACATGAAATGTTAAATTTGGTAGTATCTTCATAAATAATGCTTTTTGGTACTCGCAAAATTGATAAATCTTAATTTGAGCATCATATTTATGATATAAAACCATAAAAAGTTTGTGTTAAGGGTAAAGAAGTTAAGTGGCCCTTATATTTTCAGAATTGCTATCTATTAGATTAAAAAAAGTTTATTTCCGAGATAATTCTACAAAAACTATTCTCATACCATCGTCATCAGGAACGTCTTTTGTAGGTTCAACACTAAAATTGGTTTCTTGCGTAATTTGTTCCGTATTTTCTGGTATTTTCAAACTGCGTAGTATTTCTAGAGCTTTTTTCGCAGCGTTGTGTCTAGCCGTCTGTCTTGATATACCCTCACCGATGAATTCACGAGTCCCAACCTTCAGGGAAACATAGAACGATCTAGGAGGGCGCATGTAATGATACCTGAAATAATAACAATTATGCAGTATTTTAAAAAAAATTGAAAATAATATTAAATCATTTAAGCTAACTACATGGTCACAGGGCTTTTTTCCTTCTATAGCAGGGGCCGTTATATGGCTGCTTCCCCAAAGAAAAATTCTTTAAAATCATGCAGTTTTCCACAAAAATTGAATTTACACAAACTTTTTTCTTCCCCTTCTGCAAATATACAGTAAAAATTAAGGGCAGGGCTGCTTCCCCAACATGTGAAAAAAATCCCTGATAAATGAAAAATGAAAGTTTTTTAAAATCCCCCAAAAAGCACATTTCAAAATCTGAAAATCCTGAATTCAGGAATGATCTTGAAAATTTTAACCCATATACACCTTTTTAACTTTGTAACTATGCATAATACTTTCTTTTTTTAAAGCCATAAAATCTAACTATCAGAAAGAGTGTAGTTCCTGATTTCTGAAGTAATGCGAAATCAAGTGAAACAACCATATATAACAAGAGCTGTCTGTAGGACAGCACGCTCGACTATTCTAAGTGCATGATAGTAAAAGAGCCTTGATATTGTTTAATTTTTTAAGTTTACAAAAGGGCTAATTTTTTTTTATAAATTCATGTTATAGGCCTAAGAGAGAGTCTAATTATACAGTATTGGCTTGACTATTCGGAAGGTAATGTCACAAGGGTGTTTTATTGAGTATAATAATACTAATTACCTATGAATAAATAAATTTGACAGAAAAGGTACAAAGGCTTGTTATTAAGATGTTTTATCAAGTAAATCACTGCTTTATTATTATGAATGCATAAAATTGTCCCGAAAAAGGCACAAACCCTTCAGTAGTTATTGAGATAACAACTTACAAGAAAAACTTAACCATGAATTTCTAAGTTGAAAAAGGGGAGAAAAATCAGCCTAAATGCAAGATAGAATTATGGATCTTTGTCAGTGACCTACAATTATGACCCTAAATGCATATGTGAAGTTTTTAATAAATATCTTTAATAGTTATTGAGATATGTAAAACTTGCATGTAAACATTAACCAAGAGACTAAGTAGAAAAGGGGATATGAATCAGCCTTAATGCAAGATAGAGTTATGGAACTTGGGTCAGTGACATACAATTATGACCCTCCAATTATGACCCTAAGTGCATGTGTAAAGTTTCAAGTAAATATCTTTGAAGACCTTTAATCTTTAACCAAAATTTCTAAGTTTCTAAGGGGCGAATAATTCTGCAAATATTGCAGGCAGAGTTATGCAATTTTGCAAACTGATGTACATTGTTACTATAAAACAGTATTTTAAATTTCAATTGAATATCTCAAGCAATAATTGAGATATTTGACTTTACAAAAAAACTTTAACCAAAATTTCTAAGTTCCAAAGGGGCATAATTCTGTTAATATTGTAGGCAGAGTTATCCAACTTGTCAATCTGATGCACCTTGTTACTATAAATAAGTATTGTAAGTTTCAATTAAATATCTCAAGCAATAATTGAGATATTTGACTTTACAAAAAACTTTAACCAAAATTTCTACGTTAAAAAGGGGCATAATTCTGTCAATATTGTAGGCAGAGTTATCCAACTTGTCAATCTGATGTACCTTGTTACTATAAATAAGTATTGTAAGTTTCAATTGAATATCTCAAGCATTGATTGAGATATTTGACTTTACAAAAAACTTTAACCAAAATTTCTAAGTTAAAAAGGGGCATAATTCTGTCAATATTGTAGGCAGAGTTATCCAACTTGTCAATCTGATGCACCTTGTTACTATAAATAAGTATTGTAAGTTTCAATTAAATATCTCAAGCAATAATTGAGATATTTGACTTTACAAAAAACTTTAACCAAAATTTCTACGTTAAAAAGGGGCATAATTCTGTCAATATTGTAGGCAGAGTTATCCAACTTGTCAATCTGATGTACCTTGTTACTATAAATAAGTATTGTAAGTTTCAATTGAATATCTCAAGCATTGATTGAGATATTTGACTTTACAAAAAACTTTAACCAAAATTTCTAAGTTAAAAAGGGGCATAATTCTGTCAATATTGTAGGCAGAGTTATCCAACTTGTCAATCTGATGTGCCTTGTTACTATAAATAAGTATTGTAAGTTTCAATTGAATATCTCAAGTAATAATTGAGATATTTGACTTTACAAAAAACTTTAACCAACGCAGAAGCCGACGCGGACGCCGACACCGACGCCGACGCCGGGGCGACTACAATAGCTCTCATATTCTTCGAATAGTCGAGCTAAAAATCAGAGATTTTTTTGGCTTATTTTAAAGCGGATTTTCGGTCATATTCCCAATTGAAAACAGACTCAGTATATTATTTTCCCAATCCACAGGAAAAAATTCCCAAACGAAAATAAAAATATTGAATAAAAAAATTCTTAAGTCTTCGAAAATAAGGGCTACTTCATACTTGTTATAGTGCTTACATCTTTAAAGATGCCATCCTAGACAGTGATTGCTTGAATTCATTTAATCACTGCAAAATTTCAATCATGCATTTTTCCCCCAATTGTTTTTACAAAACATTGCTGAAATTCCAAATTCCATGGGTATGGGTTATGTTCCCAAAATCCTGGGACAAAAATCCTGAAAATGTCACTGAAATACAATATACCTCTGATTGTACATGCCCCGGAAGTCATAGTTATGTTGGTAGTACATTGGCTGTGGATTTCTGTTTTCAATGTTTCTATAAATAGCCGGTTCTCCTCTTTTCATCGCCAGAGAATTGAGTTCAACTGTTGGTGTAATAGACATCATATCATCAACTGAAAATCAGAAGCACATTCTGATTATGTGTCTCAGCACATTATGTAAACAAATCTTAAACTGTACAATCACATTAATGGCTATTCTTAATACCAAACAGCAGTTTTTTTTTCACTTTTGGGGGAAGGGGGTCGGTGCCCTTTGGAGAGGGAAAAATGTAATAGGAGGAGGAGTTTTATTTGTTTACTTATTTTATATTGTTTTCTTTGCGGTGAAAAAGGGAAGCAACTCTTGCAACACAAGTTTAAAATACATCTCTTTTTCTGAATATACGGATCTAAAATATCGATGAGTCGCATGTTAAACTTGTTGGGACGCCGGGAGTAGCTCCCCTTGCATACCAGAGAACGATTTGTAAACAACCTTGCTTAACAGTAACTCTTACAGGCATTAAATAAATCATTTTTCGGCAGTTAGTTGCAAAAAAAAAAAAAAGAAAGATATTTATTGCAGGCAAATTCGGGCTGCCCTATAGGCTTTGAGGGGGGGGGAACATACTATTTTGAGGGGGAAATGCGGCCGAATTTCGCTGAATATTTTGGTGAAAACAAAACACTGAACAGTCTTTTTCATACGAGAACATCCTCTATCATCATGACTTCTTAATACCAAGCAGTCTGTCTTAATGGATTTTCTTAATACCAAGCAGTCTGTCTTGATGGATTTTCTTAATACCAAGCAGTCTGTCTTAATGGCTTTTCTTAATTTGTCTCTTTTATCTGTGCCTTCCTATGACAAACAAGTATTCTAAGATTCATGTTGATATCTTTTATACTTTTTAAAAAAAAATTATTCTATTTCATAGGCAATTTTACAAAATTCTAAGTTAAAAAGGGGCACAACTCTAATATATTGCCTTCAGAATAATAACCCTTGTTTTATAGTTGCCCATTGTCATGAACATAAAATATTCCAAGAAATTTTTACAAAAAGCCCCAAGTTAAACAAGCAATCATCATAGTATTGCAAGCAATTCATAAGTCCCCTACTGGTTAGAGCCCCAGCAACATTCAATTTTACCAGTGAATGAATGACATGAATGAACATAAATCTTTTGAGTTCTAAGTTTGTCTATATCATAGTAATGTGTTAAGTTTCCCTGCCTAGTAAGGAAATTATGTTTATACAACAGATTATCAAAAGGTCCAATTTTCTCAGGATGAATAAGAATAATGTTTCAACTTTTCTCTATTTTAAGTAAATTTGTTGGAAAAAATCTTTAAAAGTGATCTCAGGAAACAGTTTTTATGAACAGACAGACAGACATACATACAGACAGACTGAAGTAGACTCTAAAGTTATTTTTTCAAACATCCCTGTTACCAAAATATAACATATTTTATTGCAAAATTCTTAAAGAGAAGATTACTCCTGAAATAAAGATGCTAGATTTATGAACATTGTCATATATGTGAGTTTTACTTTAAGTTTAAAGATACCATTTATTATTAAAAAGAAGATAAGTAAAAAAAATAACAATTTTCAAATATATAATGTATAGTAAGTAACAAAGATGAAAATTAAAAAAGAAATATAATGTAGGTGTTGATAATGAATGTTTATTTTGAATTTGAAGAAAATCCATGAAGAAAAAATTAGAAAGTTAAAGAATGAATAAGAAAAATTCAAAGTTTAAGGAGGAGATAATTCTGGAAATATGGATTCTAGATTTATAAACCTTGTCATATTATTACAATGTGGGATTTTAAAGTAAATCCTATAAGGAATGAAGAAGTTGGAGTAAAAAATACCAATTTCTCGAAAAAATTTAAGTTCAAGGGGGACATAATTCTGGAAATAGTCTTGCTAGAGTATTTAACCTTCTCAAAAATGTTGAGTGGTAATAAGAAACATATATATGAAGTTTGAAGTAGATACATTAAGAAATAAAGAAAAAGACAACATTTTTTTTCAAGTTTAAGTTCAAGGGAGGTAATTCTGATAATTTTTGTGCTAGAGTTGTAAACCTTGTCACATATGATGTGGTTGATGACCAGAAACTTATATTTAAAGTTTGAAGTAAACACCTTAAGAAATGAACAAGAGGGCCATGATGGCCCTGAGGTCGCTCACCTGTATATAGGCCCCCCCAACCCCCACTCCCCCAACGTTGCAGAGCCAATTTAACCCAAGGGCTTTTATTTGCACAAACTTGGTAGACACCCATAAGAAGATGTTTCATGCTAAACATTTAAGTTCTAGCTCATTGGGCTTTTTAAAAGAAGATTTTTTTTAGTTTTTACTATACACATATAGTTAAAAACAATGACACCCCTGGGGCCGGGCCAGTTTTGACCCCAGGGCTTTTATTTGAACAAACTTTGTAGACACTTACTAGAAGATGTTTCATGCTTAATATCTAAACTCTAGCTATTTGGGTTTTTTCAAAGAAGATTTAAAGTTTTTGCTAAACACATATAAAGAAAATCAATGACCCCCGGGGCGGGGCCAATTTTCACCCCTGGGCTTGTATTTGAACAAACTTGGTAGACACCTATTAGAACATGTTTGATGCTCAATATCTTAGCCATAGCTCTTTGAGTTCTTTAAAAGAAGATTTTTTAAGTTTTTACTATATGCATATAGGGAAAATCAATGACCCCCCGGGGCGGGGCCAATTTTCACCCCAGGGCTTTTATTTGAATAAACTTGGTAGACACCCATAAGAAGATGTTTCATGCTAAATATCTTAGCTCTAGCTCTTTGGGTTCTTTAAAAGAAGATTTTTCAAGTTTTTACTATATGCATATAGGGAAAATCGATGACCCCCCGGGGCGGGGCCAATTTTGACCCCAGGGCTTTTATTTGAACAAACTTGGTAGACACACACTAGAATATGTTTCATGCCAAATATCTATGCTCTAGCTGTTTGAGTCCTTTAAAAGAAGATTTTTAAGTTTTTACTATATGCATATAGGGAAAATCAATGACCCCCGGGGCGGGGCCAATTTTCACCCCAAGGCTTTTATTTGAACAAACTTGGTAGACACCCATTAGAAAATGTTTCATGCTAAATATCTTAGCTCTAGCTGTTTGGGTTCTTTAAAAGAAGATTTTTTAAGTTTTTACTATATGCATATAGGGAAAATCAATGACCCCCGGGGCGGGGCCAATTTTGACCAAAGGGCTTTTATTTGAACAAACTTGGTAGACACTCACTAAAAGATGTTTCATGCCAAATATCTTAGCTCTAGCTCTTTGAGTGCTTTAAAAGAAGGTTTTTTAAGTTTTTACTATATGCATATAGGGAAAATCAATGACCCCCCGGGGCTGGGCCAATTTTGACCCCAGGGCTTTTATTTGAACAAACTTGGTAGACACCAATTAGAACATGTTTCATGCTAAATATCTTAGCTCTAGCTCTTTGGGTTCTTTAAAAGAAGATTTTTTAAGTTTTTACTATATGCATATAGGGAAAATCAATGACCCCCCGGGGCGGGGCCAATTTTGACCCCAGGGCTTTTATTTGAACAAACTTGGTAGACACTCACTAGATGATGTTTCATGCCAAATATCTAAGCTCTAGCTCTTATGGTTTTTTAAAAGAAGATATTTAAAGTTTTTTCTTTCGGTTGCCATGGCAACCAGAGTTTTGCATGGAATTAAATTCTTTGAACAATTTTTAAAGGTGACCACCAAAGGAACATTCCTGTGAAGTTTGGATGAAATTGGCTTAGTGGTTTATGAGGAGATGTCATTTAAAGTAAAAGTTTACGGACGGACGGACGTACCAAAATTTGAGGTTTATGAGGCAAATGAGCTCATAAACACCACCTGGACCAACGTCCATAAGCAAAATAAGCTCATAAAAACCAAAAAAAACTCTTAATTTTAAATTTTATGAGTTTATGTTCTTTATTTAACTACGGAATGAAGCTCATAATAATCAAATGTTGGCTCGGACGGACGACGGACGGACGGACGGACGCTGGACGAAAAGCGATCACAAAAGCTCACCCTGTCACTTTGTGACAGGTGAGCTAAAAACTTATAGTTAAAAAGCTTAAAAATTTAAATCAGAAATCTTGAAATTCAGTCTATTTGTTGCCATAGCAACCAGAATTTTCAACATAGGAAGAAAAGAAAAAGATGTACATAATCTCCAGACTGCCATCTAACCATATTTCAAGTTTCATAAAAATATTTTCAGTACTTTTTGCATTATCGCAGGATCCAGTTTTGTGGACGGACAAACAGACAGACTGACAGACAGACAGACGGAGGGTAAACCTAAAGTCCCCTCCGGTTAAACCGTTAGAGGAATAAAAAGGGCAAAGCTCAAAAAATTCAGCTTTCAGAATAATGCCCATTGTCTTAAAATTGCCACTTGTTATGATAAGCAATCGTTTCAAGTTTCATACTGATAACTTTAAAACTGAAAAACAAAATTAAGTTTTTGTGAAAAGACAATGCCGATAATGATGTGGCAGCAATCGTAATAGCCAGACTTTTTCTACCTACAAGCTATACATATATTTTTTTTCTATCAGTTCTTGAGTGATTAAGAGCAAAACTGGTATCATGTAATTTCTTACCCTCAGTTATGATTTCCCCTCTCCTTGATTTAGGAGGTGGATGCTTGAACTCGGTTTTCTCTAGAGCTATCCCAGCAGCTGCATGTTGGGCCTTCTTTATACTGGGACCCGAGGCAGAATACTCCTCCTTATCACCAATCTGTAGCTTGACGAAAAAGGTCTTCTTGTGAGCTGGACCTTGTTCGTCAACTAACGTATACTGATGGGTCACCTACAATGATTATTCACACAATGTTTACATTAACCATATAATAAATTTGACTTTGCAAATTTGCTTTAGAGTCATGATCTGTAATGCAGGGTTGGCAAACGATTGACTGCCAAGGAAAACCCAGGCGGGAAAACCCGGGTTTTCCCGGGCTGGGCAGTACTCCCTAAACTAGGTAATACTGGGCAATACTGGGTAATTTGATATTTTGATGTGGTATTTTTCAATAAATACTATAAATATTTACATTTATTAACAAATAAAGTAAACATAAGGAAAACACAAGTGCATTTCATAGAAATTGAGTTCTGAACATCAACAACTATGTTGAGTATGTTTAATACATAAATCATATAATAAAAGTGACTTTGTAAATTTTCTTTGGAGTCATGATCTCCATTCAGTCTGTTTTAAATCATTTCTTGCCTATCTCAAGTTATCCAAAATTTTCATTCACTTACCACTCATCTCTAAGCATAACACCTACAGTAACACTTACTGAATTAAAGTAAAAAGTCAGTTCCACATACTTACCCTGTTGAAACGGGCTAACTCATTGATTAGACACATTGGGGTTTTCTCTTTAGTGTTTGCCAAACTAGACGATCCTTGCAGTTGCTGATTTGTTTCTTGGCCTTGCTCATTGGTCAATACTGAAGTTGTAGGTGGGTCTTGTGGCGGACTGCTGGTCACATGACTAGAAACTCCATTTTGATTGGACAATGAAGAAGGGAAGTGATGAGGATTGGCTGAAACTGCGGCTGTTGCTACAGTTTTTGCTGGTATTGCAATAGTAACAGGACCTACAGAAGGCATTTTGTGATTACAGTTTATTACAGTAATACAAATGAAGATGATTCATTTCATAATTGGTCAATAATTAATCCTTACAACCCCAAATGGTATTTCTGTGAGACAGAGAGCATTAACTTTTTAAGTTTATAGTATGAATCCATTAAAATATTTTCTTAAATATCTGTATAATAAATTTACAAAACAAACTTTTTCAAAAACAAAATGACACAATTCTAATATCTTATTCTAAGCCTTTTCTAAGGCCTTAAAGCTGCATGCCTCCAGATGAGCGGAAATATTTTTATAAAATCAAACTTGAGAAAAATGTACTTAGAATTTAGGAAAAGTAAAAATATTCAAGATTCAAGAGTAAAAATATTCAACATTCAAGTATTAATTTACATGTTATGTATGATTAATGACTGATTTTTCAGTATTTTTATAACTATATTTCTACTGCATTACTAATACAGTTAGGGCTTTTTTTGCACATTTTGTCCTCTTTTCAGTAATTTACATGGGTTTTAAATGCCACTGATAATGTGTAAATTGCTTTCTTTTGGTTATTTAACTACTGGTTTCCTAGCCGTTTCCGTCCACAAATCGCACTTTTTAACAAATAAAATAAAAATCATTATACGGAGGGATACAAAACTTTTTCAGGTACAGTGTAACTTCTGAAAACCGAACACCTGTGGGACTAGCCAAAAAGTTCGGAATTTGGAAATTTCTGGAATGTACAATTATTTAACTGTTTTATAGTAAGACATAATGAAAACAAGAGCACCGCTAGGCGGAGCATTATATGCCCGAAAGTGTTTTTTTTCTTTCTAAGGATGAAGCATTTGTAAGACATTACATAAATTAAATAAAGTATTACCTCCTTCAAATAGCAATCCTCCTATAAAGTTTGAATATTGTGGGCCAAATGGAACTTCAGTTATGATCTGGAAACTGTTTTTAGTTTTGAGGTAATAGCTACCTTGAACTTTGACCGTGTGACCCCAAAATCAATAGGGGTCTTCTACCCAATATGGACAATCATCCTATGAAGTTTCAACACTATGGGCCAAATAGAAAGTAAGTTATGTTCTGGAAACTTTTTTCAGTTTTAAAGTAATAGTGACCTTGACCTTTGACATTGTGACCCCAAAATCAATAGGGGTCTTTATCCAATATGGACAATCATCCTCTGAAGTTTGAATATTGTGGGACAAATAGACCTTAAGTTATGCTCTGGAAACTGTTTTCAGTTTTAAAGTAATAGTGACCTTGACCTTTGACCTTGTGACCCCAAAATCAATAGGGGTCTCCTACCCAATATGGACAATCATCCTATGAAGTTTGAACACTGTCAGCCAAATGGAACTTAAGTTATGTTCCGGAAACTGTTTTCAGTTTTAAGGTCATAGTGACCTTGACCTTTGACCTTGTGACCCAAAAATCAATAGGGGTCTTCTACCCAATATGGACAATCATCCTATGAAGTTTGAACACTGTCGGCCAAATGGAACTTAAGTTATGCTCCGGAAACTGTTTTCAGTTTTAAGGTCATGGTGACCTTGACCTTTGACCTTGTGACCCCAAAATCAATAGGGGTCTTCTACCCAAAATGGACAATCATCCTATGAAGTTTGAACACTGGCGGCCAAATGGACCTTAAGTTATGCTCCGGAAACTGTTTTCAGTTTTAGGGTCATAGTGACCTTGACCTTTGACCTTGTGACCCCAAAATCAATAGGGGTCTTCTACTCAATATGGACAATCATCCTATGAAGTTTGAATGTTGTGGGCCAAATGGAACTTAAGTTATGCTCCGGAAACCAAATTGCTAACAGACGGACGGACAGACGGACGGACGGATAGACAGACGGACGGACGGACGCCCAGGGGTATAACATAATATGCCCGAAATTCTTTCGGGCATATAAATATACGAAGCTGATTAAATTTTAAAAAAAAAATAGCAAAATTATAGGACTTTTACTTTTTTAAATTTCATTATCACCTCTAATTGAATTTGCTAATACAATAACATAATGTTAATAATCACAATCTATCCTTTAGTATATTTCATATACATGTAGTACCTGTTATTTACCTGTATTTTTTCATTTCATCACATTATTTTTCTCAATTTCTTAATTTTCACACTTTAAACTAGTGTTTGATATGCTTGACATGTTGTAATTCTAATAGGTGTCAAGATAGATGGGTACTGCTAATTGGATGATACAGACATTTTGAATGTTTTTCAATTACAAGTATAATATTCCTTCACACCTTTTTTAATTTCCGGATTGTGGAAGTAAATTTTAATTGATATAACCCAAATTTTAACAAATAATCATTCAGAATTTAGAAGTTCCGTTATTCAGAGGTTTTGATTACAAAGCAATATTAAGATGATTTTATCAGACAAACAGAACTTCCCAACCTTTTCCGTGTCGTCTGCAGAAATATTTTCTGAAGTATTGATTTACCTAAAATGGGGTCTTAGTTATTGCGCATGGATATTCACACTAGAATTCCCCAGGTGTTGCTTATTTTTGAATGTCGCAAGTTCTCTTATGTAATTTTTAATAATTTTTAGAAAACAAATGTTTCTCCGATTGATGAAGTAACGTGGATGCCTTACTGGTAAAAATAGACTGTACTGGACGAAAATGATAAACGGCCGGAAAACTGCTAGGGGACAGAAACTGCTAGGAAACCAGTAAATAATACTTTTACAGTGTTCAATTTAGAACAAAGTCCCAGGGGGCCCATCGGGCCCATAAACTTTTCAAAAGGGGGTCATTTGAGAAAAAAGGGGGCCCACTCTGAAAAGAACATCAAATTCAAATAACGTATTTATCTTTTAAGTTACTTGTTCACGTACCATATATAGACCAAAAAACGGTTGCAAAATTCCAAAACAATCAACTCACTAAAATAATGACATTATTTTGACCCTTTTGAGAGTTAGAACTGTTAGCGTTGATACAGGCTCAATTTTAAAAACTGATTGGTAAAAAAAAAACGATGACATAATGTTCAAAGAAACATATGAATCTTATTCTAATGTTACCGCAGGGATATTTGATAATAATGTTCAGTTTTTTAATCAGCGCCCGGTATATAAAAGAAAATCATATTTTGCAATTAGCTTTGTTGATGAAGAATATAAACTTACAATAGTCGCTAAAAACATTTACCCTTCTCAATATATCCAAGCGAAAAAAAAAGTGTCAACAGGTGCTTAGACAATGTATATTGGGAAGACGGACAAAACCCCACCAGTTAAAACCCCACACTGTATATTGACATACCGGTACCTTTGATCTTTTGTCAGGGCAGCAGTTCTTACGTCACGCTTAAGATGTCTGTATTGATTTTATGATATGCACAATGTTTTAGCGCCGACCAGCCAAAGACCAATCAAAGTTTATTTACTCAATTGTCAGACACTCCCTAGCCAATCGTGTTTGATTAGCTCCATCTTTAAGACTTTTTTAATTGGATGTAGGCGTGTTCGTAATAATTTATGCACACTTCTCTATAATTAACTCGCACTTTTCACAAATATATATCTTTTTTCCTCCGGAAAGTTATGACATATTTATTTGTTTTGACCGTGAAAAAACTATAACTACACGCACGTATTGGATTATCTGTGACGATTTGTTTGTTTATAAAAACTGTGACTCAAAAGTAAGTAATAGTTACGGTACGAAGAACAAGTCTACCTGGTATTTACAGACCCCGGCCGAGAGAGCGTAGCGATCATGATTTTAAAAGGGTTACCAAGTACGGTAACTATGTTACCAACATGCTCTTGTTTTTCTATACAAACTTCAGTTTTGAATTCAGTATTTATTAATATTATTCACAAGAAACTTTTTTTATGTACTTAATCAGGTTTAGGAAAGCATTCTAATGTCATTTAGGGCATTTTCTATGAGTGCGCCCATCGGGCCCACAGTTGAATTTGTTTTGCGCTGGCGGTCTTTTCAGGGGGTCAATGGCGCAACGGCGCGCTCTAGATTGAACACTGCTTTTAAACACATTATCAAAATTTTCATGAAAATTAGCATGAATCTGGAGGCATGCTGCTTTAAATTAAATAAAATAATGAAAACTCCATATCAACAAAATTCTATTTTTTTGAGAAATTTTTTTTACCTGTAGGAATGAATGTTCCAATGACAGGAGCTTGTCCTTGTACATTTTGTCCTGAAAAACTATTTTTTGATCTGCTGTTTTGTTTACTTGCTGCGGTTGTTGTATTTACAATAGGTTTCATTTTGATTGTCCTGAAAAATAACGTAAGTGTAAAGAAAAGAAAAGAGTATAGCTATTACACTCAGATACATAGATTATCTTTAAATTTAAGTATGTGCCCAACCTCAAAAACAGTAACATTCGGAAAGAATTCTTTTAGATTTGAAGGCGCCGAGATATGGAACAGTCTCCCTAATAACATCCACAAGCTTGAAAACTACAAAGAGTTTGGGAGACTGATCCAGGTTTGGAGTGACCAAAGTTGTAAATGTGCTATGTCTCTGTAAATTTGCTATGTGTTTGTTATTTTGCTTAATTTTAATTTATGTAAAATGCTTAGACTACATGTTTGTTTGTTTGCTTTGCTTTTGTGCATCCCTTTTACTTAGTTTGCTATGATGCTTTGATTATAATGCTGTGTGTTAATTTTCCTTAAACCCTGTATTTTTATGCTAGTTGAATCTTTGCTGTCTGATTTGTATGTTTTGTTCATATTAAAACTCCTTATTCTACCTTCCATTAAGCTGTGCATGCAACTTAATTTTAGTTAACTTTGTTTGTTACCCTGCATGACTTGTGCTTTATCTTGTTTCTTTTTTATGTTGTTTTAGTTCTATCATAAATTTTTATGTACCTTTTTTTATAAGTAAGTCAATTTATTTATCTTTTTTTTTTTAGGAAACCTTCAATTACGTATAAATTCTTGATGTTAACTAATAACTATTACTATTTTATTAATTCTATATTTTTATTATAATTATTTTTATTTATTTCACATTGTTACATGTATATCATACTTAAATTTCTATACTACAGTCATTTATTACTTTTATAAACTGTTACTACCTTGAATACAATATGTACTGTGCATGTCATCAAACTTTGCTTTAATTTATCATCTTATTGATACTTTTATTTCTATTAGTTTTTTATGTTTTTACTTTCAGATCTGTTATATGTTTAGTAAGTATGCTTTATGTCTTTGTTATTGTCGGTAAATAGCTTATTAGCTAATGTTTCTTGTAATATGTAAACCAAATTAAAATAAAGTTTCTTGTATCTTGTAACCTGATTAGAATCTTCACATTTTCACTCGGACACAAAAAACCATTTACATGATTTAGCTTTGGACATTCCAGCTGTCTGACTTGATTTGTCAAATTTCATACATCGTATCAATATATTATTATATATTAGTGATAAACAGTAGTTACTCTAGATGTGCGTCCCAAGTCGGAGGCGCATAAAAAATGACAGAAGCCCCAGTGGTTAACACTTCCCACCCACTTCATTTTTTCATATGGTATCAAATAACTATATTTTTTAACAAACCTTAGAAATATTTAGTTGTGTATATTGAACTTAGTTACACGGAGTGATATCAAGGCAACAGATTTTATAAATCACGTCTGTATAAGAAATGAATTATTGGCAAACATGAAAGAAAAGTGCAGTCGAACACGCGAAATGTTGTTCTGCTCCCGAATAATATGACTGTGCTCCACCAATTTATATTTCTGAGTTTATAAAACGCTCATTAACCTGTGAGCACATTCCAAGCGTTTGTCAGGAAGGGAGTACGAAAATAAACCAGTCACTTTTCATGGTTGAAAGATACTAAATATAGCTGAAGGTAATAAAGTACTAAAAACGCATTGGTGTACTCATTCAGAGCGAAATTCGTTCTCTAATTCTGTTTAACAATTTGTTATTCTTTATGTCTACCCATTTTGAAGGGTTTGTGCTTTTTTTATCAGATTAGATAAATGCTATTATAATTATGCTGATGCTGTTGTGTTTGTTAAAGTCAAGCTGGCTTTCAAAAGGCACTTATAATTGAATGCTCCAATATTGTTAAGTGTGACACTACTCATAAACGCTAATAAAACAAAAGTTGCTGTATTATCAAGTGGTGAATTAAGAATGAACCTGTATTTCTTTCTCTGTCTAACAAACTCTTGATGCTGTAAATGATTTTAATTATTTAGGTGTGAAATTTATGTTAAGTGGTTAATTTAATAAAACAAAAACAAAAACCTTGACATATCAAGCTCCGAAGGCAATGTTTAATAGTTTAACTAAGATTTAAAACTTTGTTTGCCTATTGATATTCAAGTACAGTTGTTTGGCAATATGGTTAAGACACTACTATGGTATATGGATCAGAAGTATGAAAACAATGCTTTTATTTCTCAGTATCAAATACATTTTTATAAATATATACTCAAACTATATACTTAAACTCAATATGTCGACTCCTTCTGTGATTGTTTTAGGAGATAATATTAGTCCCTTATTGAAAATGATGTTGTTTGAAGAATGTTAAACTTTGTGGTAGATTAATTAGTCAGTGGTTATAAGCTGATACAATATAAGTGCATGTGCTCTGTAGAATTTCACTATGTACAGTTTTCATAAAAGGGGTATTTAACATTGCCAGTGAACTAAGAAAGTAAAGTCTGCACTAAACAATATTGGTTGTTCAGATTTTGGGGCAATATAAAATGTTTTAAAATTAAATAACTTAAAAGAATTAAATCACAATTACGTAGTAGGTTTTATAAGTATTGAGTAGTGATGTTCTTAATTCTGCCAAGAGTTTAGGTTAGAATATATAAAATTTAGTAATAGAAAGAGCACCGAAACACGAGGCTATCTGATTTATACGAGGGGGCGTAGCCCCCGAGTATAAATCAGATTGCCGAGTGTTTTGGTGTTCTTTCTCTTTTGTATCATAGTCAAACATGACAGCACGTTCCCTGTTGTCATAATATGAACCCCCAGAAAAAAATTACCAATGAACGAGCATTTGAATATGATATGTCTGCCCCTTTCCCTTTCTCTGCCGTCACAATAAGTAAACCCCAGCAAAAATGAGCCAATCAACGGGCATTATCTGGAGTGCGGTAACTGATACCTGCACTCCAGTTACCGCACTGTGCATGTATATGTATACGATTTAACTCTGACACTTTTTCAACAGACAGGTCCCCAAACTATGATACAAATTTTAGTTAGAACATTATTCACTTTGTTAAATTAATCAAACTTCAAAAAACTATTTAATAGACCCAGGCAAACCCGTTACTTTCCGAATATGAAAACGTACAGGTACGGTACAGGACGGTAACTAGGTCCTATCTTCGTAAAAGTACGCCATTTTCCGGTGAACAGCAAAGGAATAAGCATCAAGATGGCTGACCGCGGCTTAATTGTCACTAATTAGTTTTTTTGGTTGTATTTATTACTTGTTAACTTAAATTTATGTAATTTTATTGAAATACAAAAATGTCGATGATTGCTAAGAATCGAACTAAAAGTACATGGACGCCGCTGAGTAACGAAGAAACAAATAATAAGGTAAAATTTTCGAGTTGACAGGTGCCTGTGCTTGTTTATTGAAATTAAACAAGTGGGTGGGGGTTTGTAAATACATATATATTTTTCGAAAATATATTGAGCGAAAGAGTGGCTTCACATTTATGCGTTTGAAAAACCCAGGTACTTAACCGTAAAACAGAAACGCTGTTGGTTTTAGTGGGTAACAAATTAAGTAAAAAGCGTTAATTATAAAAAGAAATTAGACAAAGCCTATGAACTGGGAAATCAGTCTAAAAATTTTGTTCATTTTTTATTTTACATTTTTTGTTTTAAAGGTGTCATAAGGTATTTGATGCACCGCATCGGTTTTCACCTCGACAATTATTATTTGAGCTGAAAGGTTGCGATTGTAAAAAAAAATCATTGTTCTATTATCAGAATACCTTGCCTATTATCTTTGAGTCTGTTATATATCAGAAAATAGCTTATATAGCTAGTAGTGAGAAAATTCTGCAGCAGTGGCCCTTCACTATACTGAAAGAAGAAGTGTTATTATGTTTGATTGTAACCAACTTTAAATAAGATTATCTTATCTGAGTTGTACATTGAAAATGGCGGCACCCAACCAGATATGACACTTAAAATTTTCACTGATAGGTATAGAACTCTTTATATTTTTTTTTAATTTGATTTCCATTTAATTATACATGTTAAGTCTATAGCCTGGTAAATCAAATACCGGGGCCACTTCGCGGATTTTCATTGAGAGAAACATGAATTAAAGTACTCCTGGCCATTATTTTGTATAAATCTACATGTTCATTAATCCAGATTTTTTTGCCTGAAACTTATCGATGTGCTATTTTTTTTTTAAAAAGGTCACTATCAGTGACATAAAAATGCTCATCTCAAGAGCGTTGACTATTTTGCATCAATGTATTAATCATAATTTCTTGTCTTAAATTTTCACTTTAAAAGTTTAAACATTTTAGGTCTTAAAATACCTGTTGTTACTAGTAGATATGAAACACAAGCTGGAATGGCTTGTGGTTTTCTAGCCTTATTTCTTTGACTGAATAAATAAAAGTTATATTTTTTCTTTGTAAATGTTTTTGTGAAATTAGAAGGGTAGCTCCAATTTTAGTAGTGTCGGGAACTCTGTAATTATGCATTATTTATCTTTTGAATGCTTAGTCAATATATCAAAAATAACAGCATGACTTATGCAAGCAATATGGCATGGTTGATTTTACTGTAATTACTTCTTATGGGCAAAAATTAAAGAGCTAGATTGAGTTATTTTTCAGTCGTGACCTTTTTTTAAATTTTTATAAATTTTATGAAAAAAAAATGTGGCCATGCTTTTTGTTCTTTCCTTTTCTGCATATTCAAAATGTTTTGTTTTATTTACAGATATTTGAGGAAAGAAGAGTTCTTATAAATAAGTGGGTATGTAGAAAAATATTACATTCTGTTGAGTAGCTTTTTATCGACTTCAGGTTTTTATAAATTACCTATTAAGAAGGGCTTGATCTGGATATAAAGTAGCCAAACATTCTCAATCAGGTTATAATTAACAGTTACTATGAAACTAAAATTAATGATTTTTAATCATTACCATCAGTTACTTGGATTGTCAGTGTTGATTATTTTGCATCAAAAGAATTGGAATACTTATTTATTATGATAAGGTGCAGTTGTAAGACAAGGGACATTACTCTGAAAGCTATATTTTGGTGTTATTCCACTTTTAAACTTAATTTAATGCTATTTATACCCCCGCACAACAAAGTTGTAAGGGGGGTATACTGGAATCAGCTTGTCCGTCCGTCCGGCCGTTGTTTTTTCTTGTCCACCCAATAACTTAAGATTCCGCCCGTCATATTTGTCATGGAGGTTAGTCATGATTAGTAGATGACCCCTATTGATTTTGAGATCACTAGGTCAAGGGTCAAGGTCACAGGGGCCTTGACTTCAAAAAGCTTATCCGCCCAATAACTTAAGATTCCTTTGACCCACAGTCTTCATATTTAGCATGGAGGTTAGTCATGATTAGTAGATGACCCCTTTTGATTTTGAGGTCATCAGGTCAAAGGTCAAGGTCACAGGGGCCTTGATTTCAAAAAGCTTGTCCTCCCAATAACTTAAGATTCCTTTGACCTACAGTCATCATATTTGGCAGTGAGGTTAGTCATGATTAGTAGATGACCCCTATTGACTTTGAGGTCACCAGGTCAAGGGTCAAGGTCACAGGGACCTTGACTTCAAAAAGCTTGTCCGCCCTATAACTTAAGATTCCTTTGACCCACAGTCTTCATGTTTGCATGGAGGTTAGTCATGATTAGTAGATGACCCCTATTGATTTTGAGGTCACCATGTCAAAGGGTCAAGGTCACAGGGACTTTGAACTTCAAAAAGTTTGTCTGCCCAATAACTTTAGATTGTCCTTTGAAACACACAGTCTTCATATTTGGCATGGATGTTGGATCATTATTAGGTAGATGGCCCCTTTTGATTTTGAGGTCGACTGGATCAAAGGTCAAGGTCATAGGGACTTTTTGACTTCAAAAAAGTTTGTCCCACCCTTTAAAATTTAAAAATTCCTTTGACCCACATTTTCCCATATTTGGGTGGATGTAAAGGAAAACTTTTAAGGTAACCCCATATTTTTTGGGTTTCACTGGGTAAAAAGGCCCAATCACAGGGGGCCCTTTTGAAAAAAAAAAAAGTTTTTCTTCTAATTGCTAAAGAATGTCCTGTCCGAAATGTTTTGGGGATTTTGACTTTTTCACTTTTGAAGCATGTGGGAATAAATAATTGGGCAAGGGCACTTGCTTAGTAACCTCAGTTTTGGGGCCAGGGGGGTTGCCCTTGAGCTCTAAATGGCCACTGTTAAATTCGAAAAAAGTGGATGGGGGGGGTTCACCCCAAATGATAGTGGCATTTCTATTTTGAAAATTTAAAAACTTATTACATTTTTGAGAAATGGACACACGGATCAGAGGAAACAGATACTTTGGAAGATTTGATACATTTAAATCAAAGATCCGAGAGAAAGGATTTATACGGGGACTACGTAAAGGAACATGTTCCCGCCCTTAAAAAGAGATTTCACTCGTCATCTGCCTAGAGTTATTTCCATTTTATATTTTCTCATTTCTTAGATCCCAGAAGTCTAAGTAGCATGTTCACAGGTAATTATTAA